CGTGGTCCACCAGAATTTATAGTTTGCCCACCTCTTTTTTTACCACTACACCTCTGGTTATGAGGTTTTTTGCCCGATCGGAACCAAACCAGTGCAGAAATATTCTCTGGAGTCTGACTATCAATAATTATTGAAAAAAAGTTGAAATTTCGATTTCCGGTCACTAGGGGGAGTGAAATGATCGTTGTGGGAGGAGCCTATTTTACTAAAATGGCTATAACTCGAGAAATAAATTAGATATCTTCACCAAACTTGGTACACATATTTTCGAGTTCAATCTGAGGTCACAGTAAAAAAACTGCATCGATTGGCCACATGGTGGCGCTATAACATTAAAAATTACATTGAAAAGGCCATGACCACCTGACCGTTAGTCCGATTGACATGAAAATTGGTATGCAGTGTCTTGGTCCATGAGGACATTAGCGTATCTCAAAAAACATGGCCGCCATCGGCCAATGAAGTTCGAGCACCTATGAGACAAGGTTAACGGAGGCCAATCGGAACAAAACTCGATGGACATGTTCGACTCATGGTCCAAAAGGTCTGTAAGAGTTTTGAAAGAAATCGGCCACTAGTTGGCGCTAACGAGTTTTACGGCTTTGTAATCACAATATGCATATCATTTGATAGATCTCCTCATGCTGAACAACTTTGCCTCTAGAACCATTGCTGGATCGGACCATAGGTGGCGCTATAACTGTTAAAAAGCTTTAAAACCATACATTTCCTATGGTAAATTGACTGTATTGGCTGTAAATGCTTTTTGATGCTTATGTGCTTAACGGCCTTAAAGGCCTTAACTGCTTGAACACCGCTAAATGCTGCTTGCAGCTTTAATTATTATTATTATTATTATTATTATTCTTCTGCCGTAAAACGCATCGTGCAGAACAAACCGTAAGTGCTGGAGCTCTGAAACTTTGTCAGATGGTAGTACAAAAATCGAGGAGAGCCTCAGAAAGTATGACCCCGATTGGCCTATAGGTGGCGCTACAGCAATCAATTGCGCGAAACTGCTCATAACTCCTAAACCGTATGTCGTAGGCTCAAGTGTCTTATATCATTGGAAAGCTGGAGGCCTGAAGAACAAAACGTATATCTCCGATTTCATTTCCGGTATGCAAATTTTTCGGCCATTTTGAATTTTGTCAAAAACCTACTTTTGCGAACTAGTCCCTGGTTTTTTGCCCGATCAAAACCAGACAAATGCATACATGTTCTCTGGAGTCTGAATATCAATATTCATTGAAAAAAAGTTGAATTTTCGATTCACGGTCGCTAGGGGGAGTAAAATGATCGTTGTGGGAGGAGCCTATTTTACTAAAATGGCTATAACTCGAGAAAGAAATGAGATATCTTCACCAAACTTGGAACACATGTGTATGAGTTCAATCTGAGGTCACAGTAAAAAAATCGCGTCGACCTAAAACTAGGTGGCGCTATAACACACAAAAAACCTAAATGGGGCTATGACAACCTGACCGTTAGTCCGATTGACTTGAAAATTGGTATGCAGTGTCTTGGTCCAAGGTGCCATGTATGTGTATGAGGAAATTGGCGTAACTAAAAAAACATGGCCGCCATTGGCCAATGAATTTGAGCACCTATTAGACGAGGTTAACGGAGGCCAATCGGAACGAAACTCGATGGGCATGTTCGACTCATGGCCAAAGAGGTCTGTAAGAGTTTTGAAAGAAATTGGCCACTAGTTGGCGCTAACGAGTTTTACGGCTCTGTAATCACGTGGTGTTGCACACATCCCCAAAATATGCATATCATTTGATACATCTCCTCAGGTTGAACAACTTTGCCTCTAGAACCATTGCTGTCAATCAAATCGTTCATTAAATATTCACGAATATGTTAAAAACCTACTTTTGCGAACTAGTCCCTGGATTTTCACCCGATCGGAACCAGACCAGTCTAGGACAATTCTCTGGACTCTCTAGATCAATAATCATTGAAAAAAAGTTGAACTTTTGCATTTTTCGTATGGCTATAACAGGGTCATTTAGAAAAGGGGCGTGTCAAATACACACAAAAGCCTATAAATCATAAATAAAAACTCAGTACTAAACAAAAATTGGTGAGCATATGTGTCATAACATGGTGAAGAAGCATGCAAAGTTTCATGGAGATCGGACCATAGTTGGCGCTAAAACTGTCAAAAAGCTTTAAAACCATACATTTCCTATGGTAAATTGCCTGAATTGGCTGTAAATGCTGATCTCTTAAATGAATGCTCAGATCTTCTTTAAAACGGTCAAGAACATGTGTAATATCACTCTGTACGGCATTGAAAAATTTCAGACAAATCAGACAAAATTTGCCTCTATAATTAATTGTCACAGGAAGCCTCAAAACGAAAGTAAAACATTGGGCCACGCCCCCCAAGTACAAATTCACTCATAACTCGAAAACGGAAAGTCTCTGCGCGCTCAAATTTTGATGGTAAGGTCCTCTCGGGGATCTTGATCCAAATCTATCGTCGCGGGGCTCGGGAGCGCCCCCCCCGCGGATCGCTAATCTGTGAGAACCCCAACTTGAAACGGCTGTAACTCTTGATCCAGACCATCTAGATCCTTGTGGAAGAGCTTGTTGGAAAGGGCCCGTCCTCATCTAGCTTCGATTCGAGGTTGGTGCGATTTGGCCTGGGCATTCCCGAGATATAAGCCCACAAAATATGCATTTAAACGGACATTACTCCCGCCCCCAATCACCCAGCAACACCGGAATGGTCTTGATCAACAGAGCTCCTCTAACACTATCTAAGTTCTGAGTTTCAGATTTTTTCACTTTCTCGTTCCCGAGATATAAGTAAAAAAAAAAAACGAATTTCCCGTCATTCATTTCAACCGTTTATGTAGGCTGTAAAACCGCTGTTGTCCACTAGAGGGAGCAACAGCATTAGACGTTTTTAATCTTTTTAACCAGTTTTCAGCAATGGCTAACAAACAAATGCTTAAAGATATTTATTATGTTGGAAATAATATTTATAATAAATAATATAATATTAAATAATGATTTATTAGAAAGTTTAATATTTTTACATCACAAATAAATATCTGAAATGCTTAAGGACCACAAAAAGAGATTTTCACAATATCATAACCCAAAATTGTGTGTGTGTGTGTGTGTGTAAGCATGCACAATGGAATTCACATTGAAAGACTGGTTTGCTTTAGTGCACAATATTGATTAAACCAAGTAGTTCAAAATAAAAGTGGTACTATAGCAATAAGTGGTCTTCTACTACCCTCTGCTGGACATTATACTTATTAATAGTCTTTTCACATGTGCTTTTGCATTCATATATTTAGACACTAAAAAATAACCTTATGTGACAATTACTATAATAACAATCATATTTTGTCTTTCAATTCACTTTACTGTTCTGAAGCTTCACATAATTGCTAGCAACGTGGTAAATCATGGTAAATCACGATAGAAACATGGTAAATCACAGTAAATAATATTATTACATGGTGTATCATGGTAAATCATGCTAGCAATGTGATTAATCATGGTAAAGAATGTTACAACCCTGGTAAATCATCCTATAACATGGTAAATCAAGGTAAACTAAGACAAATCAAGGTAAACTATGATAAAGCATGCTAGAATCATATTACATCTTAGGCTACTAGAATGTGTTCAATTGTGGTAAATCATGCAAGAACAGGGTAAACTATGGTAAATCATACTGTAACATAGTAAATCATTAACAATCACACTGAAATGTTGTATATCATGGCAAATCATGCTAAAACATGGTCTATTCCATCTATGATGTCAGTGGTTAAATGCTTGCTACATAAACCTTAATGTCTTTTGATGCTTTTGAGCTTAACTGTCTTAACTGTCTTAACTGTCTTAAATGCTTGAACACCGCTAAATGCTGCTAGCAGCTTTAATTATTATTATTATTATTATTCAAGTTAAATTTTTTTTTTTTATTTGACAAGTAATACTGTTTCATTCTGTTTAATTTCTAAAGACCTGTGCCCGGTTGCATAAAGCACCTTAAGTTTTTCCCTTAAGTATGATACTTAAGGGGCGATTTACCCTTACCTAAGAGAACAACTTAAGGGTGTTGCATATAATCTCTTAAACGGTTCTCTTAGGTAAGGGAAACATTTAAGTGTTTTTACGACAGCGATCCTGGATTCACGTTATAAAAGTCTGTTGTTGCCATAGATACGCAAAACACTAACATGTCGGAATATCACGTGTCAGTCCAGTGACGCTATCACTCAACACCGCGTTAGCTCCGAACGTGGCGGCAGTTTGTGTTGTTCACCGTCTCATGCTTTGGCATTTGTTTAGGTTTTGTGAATGCACTTCTGGCTCTGTGTCTCGAAATACAGCTGAGTATATTTCCATAGCGTACCTGTTTTCTTCTGTCATGATTCCTTTTAAAACACAGAATCAGCTCGTTCTCCTGTGAATTTTTGGTCGGCCACACACTCTCCGTGCGCGCACTGACTTAACGTTGTGATAGTTTACATGCGAGTCGCGTGTAATGACAGACAGACAGCCGTCTAGTTTGATAGCGATGTCAAATATTGCGCGTCGATCAAATCGGTATTCTTGCAACAATTATTCATGGCTAAATTGGTCCAAAGGGTTCTCCCTATTCCCTATGATCTTCAGCTGGTTTCATAAATTCAGCCATGTCGTCTTACTTTTGTCCGCGTTACTCTTAAGGTTACGATTTCCAAACCTTAAGTTATACTTAGGGAAATTACCGTTAAGGGGTTTTATGCAACACTTAACGATTACTTAAGTGAAAAAAACAGCATTTAAGGGAAATTCTAAGTGTTTATGACGTTTCACTTAAAAAAAACGTTAAGTAACACTTAAGGGTATTTTTCTGCAACACCCTTAGGTTTAAGGGAAACATAAGGGCGACTTTAAGGGAAAATTACACTTAAGGTGCTTTATGCAACCGGGCACTGTCCTGTTGTACATATTGACTGAGACAGATGTTGACAGACCTGTATGAGATGGAGATGATCGTCAGTGTGTGAGAGCTGCTCCAGCTCAGTGTTTCTCCTCTTCAGCTCAGTGATTTCCTGATGTATCTCTTTAATGAGATCTTCAGCCTGTTTCTCTGCTGCTTTCTGCTGTTCCTCCATCATCTTCATCTGCTCAGACTGACATCTCTCAAAGGAGTGGATCACATCAGTGAAGAGCTCCACACTGGCTGATCTCTCTTTATCTGTGTTTCTCTATAAAATAAATAAGCAGATTCATTTCTCTTACAAAAAATAAGTATACTTCAAGTTAATTTTATTAAGTATCCTTAAGGCCCTGTGTCCACCAATGCATTTAAAACGCCATGAGCGTAACGAGGCACTGAGCGTCTATTTCACGCTGAAGTGTTGAGCGCTCAGCGTTTTTTACCGGTTGCCGAGAGTTAAAGAATGTCCAACTTTGGGTAAAACGCAGCGTTCATCACTGCTTTTTACCCAACTGTCCAATCACAGTGGAAGAGGGGCGGGACATGCGCCGGAACCATCGGTTGACCTGGCTCCCCATGAGCTGCCTTGAGTCGATCAACAGTCACTCGCTCTGGGCGTCCTCCTATATCGACTAGAAAGGTTTGTGCCGCATTTTTGAGGCCAAAAGGACTGTTGGAGCGCTGTACTATACCCAGTTTTTCCATGTTTGTGAACTCCGCCTCGGCAATTGCTAGCTTCACTGGATCTAGTCGACGGGGCCGGGCATAAACTGGCGGCCCGGATGTAGAGATATGATGAACGACCCCATGACTGGCCAGTGCTGAGGAGAAAGTGGGCTTGGTGAGATTGGGAAATTCATTGAGCAGCTGGGCGAACCCGCACTCGCCTGTCAATGCACTAGACACGGTGGTTGTGGGGAAAATGCTCCTCGAACAGGGTAAGACATTAAAACCTTCCGCCGTGACTAAACAGCAATTTTTGACATCAACCAACAGTCCATTAGTGCACAGGAAGTCTGCGCCCAGGAGAGGCCTACTCACATCCGCTAAGACAAACTCCCATGTAAAGCGTTGTCCATTAAAGCACAGTGGTATTAGCCGTTTCCCATAGGTGCATATCTTGCCTTGGTTGGCCGCCTCGAGCGGTGAGCCAACTTCACCCAAGCGTCTGTCCACCGGGGATGCGGGGAGAACACTGACCTGCGCCCCTGTATCACACAGGAAATGTCGGCCAGATAATGAGTCAGTGACGAACAGTAGGTAAGCGTTGTCGTTAGCTACTATGCTACTGACTGTAGGTGTGGTATTATGGCTCCCCTTGAACGTGCATGGTGGACGGCACCTTTTTGGCTTTCACCCCAAAACGGGCGTGAAAATAACGTAGTCCTTGGTCCGGTGATTGCCGCGCGGTAAAAGCTGGTCGTTCATCTGCCCGTTGTGCTGCAGCTCTCATAACCGGGTATACAGACGCAGCCACTGACTCAGTAGTTGTACACTTGTGTGATGCTGCCTGATAAACATCTGCCAGTTGTGCTAGTTCTCTGTAGTCAGTCACTGTACTATTTGCCAAAGCGGTACGAACGGTCTGTGGTAACTGTTGTAAGAACAACTCTTTAAACAGAAAACATGGTTTATGCTCACCCAGCAGCGCTAGCATGTGATCCATTGACTCAGATGGCCGGGAATCTCCGAGGCCTGGCAGTGAGAGCAAACGACGTGCTCTTTCAGTCTCTGATAAACTGAAAGTCTTTAACAGATATGCCTTTAGAGCAGGGGTGCCCAATCCTGCTCCTGGCGATCGACTGTCCTGCACAGTTCATCTCCAACCCTAATCAAACACACCTGAAGCAACCAATTAAGGTCTTCAGAGCACGTCAGGATCACTAAAAAATTAAAGGCAGGTGTATTTGATTAGGGTTGGAAATGAACTGTGCAGGACAGTCGATCGCCAGGAGCAGGATTGGGCACCCCTGCTTTAGAGCAATGTTTCCCAACCCTGTTCCTGGCGGCACACCAACACTGCGCGTATTCTTTGTCTCCCTAATCAAACACACCTGATTCAACTCATTAGCTCATTATCACATTGGTTAATGAGCTGATGAGTTGAATCAGGTGTGTTTGATTAGGGAGACAAAGAATACGCGCAGTGTTGGTGTGCCGCCAGGAACAGGGTTGGGAAACACTGCTTTAGAGTATCATATTTAAGCAGATCCGGGGGGGTTTCCAGAATGCTGATCGCTCGCGCGGCCGTGGAGTTGCCGAGGGCTGCAACAACATAGTAATTAGGGGTGGGAATCTTTTACCATCTCACGATTCAATTCGATTCCGATTCTTGAGCCCACGATTCGATTCAAAATCGATTTTCAATTCAAAAAGATTTTCGATTTAAAACGATTCGATTTTATCCATAATGATTTCTAATCGGGTTTCTGATCATGATCTACTCTCATCTGCTTTGCTATACAGAATGACAAACGGAGACCAGTGTTTCCTCTAGGATTTTTTCCAGCTGTGGTGGCAGGTCCATTTCGCCAGGGGGAGGGGGCGTGGCCCATGAGTGATTGCCATTGGCCACGCCCCCAAAGGCTCGAATAAGAGCGGCAAAGCGATTATGCGCATCCCGTGCGCAGAATGATGCACTTGAAGCAACGTGAAGTCACAGCGCGCAGCGAAAAGTTCAAAGCACAAAACGAAGAGATTATATCTGTCTATCCATGCTTAATGTATTATATATTTGCAACAGTTTATTGAGCATTTTCTTTTAACGGTTTTAAATTTCAGTTACAGTGCGGATGAAGAACAATTCATAGCGCTCTCCAGTGCTGTAATCTAACAGACACCCGGGAGAAAGGATTATGATTTAGAAAACGCTATAACGCGACGCGCTGTGTGAATGCTGAATGGAGAATGACTGAGGAGAGATGAGTTTCCATTAACTTTAACTAACGACTTAAATATTCATTTTTACCTCACATTATGCTATTGAATGACTTTAGAAGTCTTGGAATATAGTGCGAACACTTTATGGTGCTTTACAATGTTTATTATGCCTTTAGCTTAACAATAACACAATAGTATGCACATTAATATCGGACCTCACTGAGAAGCTGCAGCCGTGGCGGGATTATTTTAGGTGTGGCGGCCCGTCACGGCAGAATGAATGTAGAAGCATCATATTTAGAAGCATCAGAAGCTCTATAAAAGCATCCATATTTGCTTCCTCTGATTTGCCGCTCACGTTTAAAAACCGGCTGCGTCCGGACGTCCCGTATAGTTACAAAAATGGAGGCGAACAGCCAGCTGATTTAATTATTAAATCGATTCTTGGACATTTCAGATCGATTCTGAATCGTTGCAAATGAGAATCTAGATTCTTCTGTGAATCGATTTTTTGGCACCCCTAATAGTAATATCTCGTGTCATCCGCGGTTATGTCCCGCAATGCGAACTGAGCTTCGGCTTGAGCGAACCACACGGCCGCTTGTTGCTCCCAAAACTCCGGCAGCTTCAGAGATACAGCATTCGTCGACATCGTACGTTAATTGTTCTGTATCGGGGTCACCAATGTAGCTTTTGTGCTATCAAAAATACACGGAGGCAGGATTGCAGTGTCAGAACAACAACTGTTGTGTTTTTTAATGAACTCATGCGTCAGAAAAAAACACGCATTAAACCACCCCCAAACTCTCATGAACGTCTTCTTAAAGGGGACATGTCCAATATACATGTGTGTCGGTGATGAGTGAATTATGTCAGCAGATCCATGATGTGTGAGCTTGTATCTGCCTCTACAAAGTATACTTTATGTAGTAAGTATACTAATATCAATGTTCTAGAAGTATACTTTTAAGTGTACTGTTTTAAAACTACTTGGGAATAAATTGACCCACTTTTTAAATTTTTCGTTTGTACTGCAACTATACTACAAGTGAACTTATACTTATAGGTCAAATACTTGTAGCACATTCTTTAGTTTATGAAAGTACACTTTGAATACTCTCAGTAAACTACTTGTTTTGTAGTTTTATAACGCAAGTATATGTAAGGTTTCTTTAAGTGAACATACTGTAACATCATACTTATAGTTCATTATTTATATATTATTTGTGCACTTTTAAGTATACTACTATGTTCCCATTTAGGTATTCATTTTTTATACTTGAAATATATATTTTACTGTACTTCAACTCTTTCCATTTAAAAAACATTTTGAATAAAACATGCATCCTTTTTTAATCAACACTTGAATGTGGGTAAGTTTAATTTTTTTAAAGCACCATTTTTAACAAAAAGCTGAGAAAATCGTGTTTTTTTTTTCCCCCAAAGACTTTGTCCGGATGAGATTCAGAACGATGATCAAAACACAGATTGAGTGGATCGAGTCCATCAACACCCTCAAAGCTTCAGTCGTTTCCTCTTCATGGGTTCGACATTTCATTCGGTAACGTTAGGCAGTTTTGATTTATGCTGTTTAATATTTGATGATAGCGTTATTTTATATCTGTGTAAACAATCTTCTATCGCTTGTTTCTGCTTCTTCTTCACCTGTGTTTTGATCAGGAGATTCAGTACTCTTTCAGAAGATGCCTATAGCGCCCCCTACCGTATAACAGTGAAAACATGGATATCTGGAGAATTCAGTCAGTGATGGGAAAGAGTACGTAGATTTGAAGTAATTTCTTCTGTACTCTACCAATAGTCAGAATAAGGAAACATTTTCTTTATAAATCAATATTTTCAAACAATTTAAGTTCATATGACAGTATGTAAAACTATTTGGATAGGATAATCAATCAAAAGAGTAAACACAACTACAAGCCAAGTGTACTTGGAATATTTAAAGGTGACCTATAATTCAAAATTGAATTTACCTTGGTATAGTCAAATAACAAGAGTTCAGTGCATGGACATGACATAGAGTGAATCTCAAACTGGACTGTTTTGGCGTTCTCATTTAATTCACGTTTATGAAAAACACCCCTGAAAAACGGTCGGTTCTCCACACAATACCGACTGTGACGCAATAGTCGGGATCATTAATATGTACGCCTCCAAATATTTGCATAATGCCAGCCCTCAATGCCAGGCGGAACTGCGCAGCCGAAGCATGGCAGTTGCTCAGTGTGGATGTACACATGAACACAAAAGTATTTTTTAGTTCCTTCATCTGAGCCTCTGAAGAAACAATGGGTTAATTTTATTTTCTCTGGAAATTTCCAAACATTTCACCGACAGAGCTGGCCTCGGATCGAGCTACCAAGCAACACTTTCTGATGTGTAATTGTTCAAGTTCAGACAGGTAATCTTTCTCTCAAAATCGTTCAATACTGTTTATGCATCAGTAAGTCAAGCCAGTGACTAAAATATCAGCTTCACATCGTTTCTTTTAGTAGGATGAAAATAATCGTATTTAAATTGTGAACAAATTATATACAGAAAGCGATCAAAGAACAATCTTTCCACACAGCGCGAGTTTATCTGGACACTTGCCAAACTCGTTATGAAATCAATGACGCACGTTACTGCACAACGAAGCTCTTACTGTATTTACATCATCGTGTTTGCATTGGTGAAAGCAGAGAGAGTGCAGAAACTGCTTTGCAATGATAAGATCTTCATTCTCGCGATCAACACACTGTCATCTGCTCAATGCTCATCACGGCAACATTTTATGTGATGGGAATAGATCTAAATACTTTAAAAACATCTCACGATTCGTTAATCTCGATAGCTGTTATAGTAAAAACGTATAATAGCAGTAGTAAAAGTATTCGGGAGAGAGTTTCACATGTAATATGTAGCTATTTCATATGCAAGCATGTCAGCCAATCACAGCAGTGGCCGCGGTTACACTGAATCCCACAGCCAATCACAGCAGTGGCCGCGGTTACACTGAATCCCACAGAGACACGCCCCTTCAAACAGAGTGTTCAAATCAGAGGCTAAAAGCAGGCTAGGAAAAATGCCATTTATTTCTAAATTATGATTATTTTTTATCTAAAAAACATACTAACATTATAAGGGTAACCCAGGAAACATTATAAAATAATAATAAAAAACATTCTAGGGCACCTTTAATATAGATGTGAGTATATCTCGATCAAAAGATTGAGTACAAATATTCGCCAAATATACTTTTCTGTCAGTACAAGTCATTTACTTGTAATTTTTAGTTATATTTAGTTATATTAAGTACATAAAAAGTAGACTGAAAGTATACTTTCTTATTTATTTTTTTGTTTAAAATAAATATACTAATAGCACACTTGAATAAACTCATTTTGGTAACACTTTATTTTAAGGTGCTTGTAATAAGCAGTAATTAACAGTTAATAAGACACTTGTAAGACCTTATAAGATGCATATAAGCATTAACTACTTCATATAAGGGTTAATTAAAGGTCCAGGCCCTGAAGAGATCAGGGAAACTATACTCCCTCTTGGAAAGGTCGATTTTTAAGTGACTGGGAGTTTGTGTTATCATTTATGTTTGTTTGGCTGTTCTAAAAGTGCAATGTATTGATACTTGAGAAATGTATTATTTAATTTAATTTATTTATTATCATTAGTTAATGCTTATATGCATCTTATATGCATCTTATAAGGTCTTATAAGTGTCTTATTAACTGTTAATTGCTGCTTATTACAAGCACCTTAAAATAAAGTGTTACCCTTATTTTCCTTAAGGGTTATTATGTATTTACATGTTTACAAAAAAAATAGAAATTTCTTCTTCATCTACTGGCCTCATGTCACTTAAAAGTTGTTTTAATTTATTTAACTGAGAACCTTTATTAAGCAGATTGAAATGTTATAATGCAATATTAATTTAGCATGTTTACTTCCACTCACTTTTCTCAGCTCTACTGAGTTCTGGATCTCTTGAATCTTCTTCATTCTGTCCTGGATCATCTGATGAACGTCTGTCTGTGTCTGAACCAGCTGATGAGACATAGAGAGAAACACACAGGTAGCTTACATATTAATTCCATATTAGTCATTTGAATAATTATTTAAAAAAAAAAATTTTAATGACTTCAAAATTAAAAATTAACTTTTGGCATATCAAATTTAAGATGTATAATCTTTGCTTTTCTGCAAAACACAATTTCAAGACTCATCTTGCACCGCTCGTCCAATCAAACTGGCTGAAATAAAAGTTACGAGCCCTTCAATATGACCTACACCAACATCAACATGTGTCAAAGTGTGTTTAAGGTGTTTAGTTTGTAACTCTTTACCTTCTTCTCTCGACTCTCCTCCTCTATAGGATCAGTGTTGTGAGTCCTGTGATCAGCAGAGGACGCCATGGCTGACAAAACTATGAAGAGAAGCAAGAGAGCAGTTTTGATAATACTTATACTCAAAGATTTTATGTATTATTTCTCCACTGACGGCCCTTTAAAAGTAGCTGAGAAAATATTTTATCTTCAAGTGACATAAATCACACATTTCACAGTAACTTATCTGACATCCACGGCTCATGCAGCAATAGTTAAGAAAAGTGTTTGGAAATCTCTCTTTCCAATTCAAAGTGAAAAACTCTTTCAGATCCAATTATGTGTGGAGTTGTATTATGTCAAATCCAAACATAAAATGATCTTGTTTTGTTGGCTTTATGGACAAGGATTTATTTGAATTTCAGGTTTTTGAAGGGGAAATACACAAGTTAGACCAGTTTAAAAGACTTCTCACTTTTAACTAGGTATTAACTATGACTTTCGCCTCAACAAACTCCAAATTACTGCTTATTAATAGTTAGTAAGGTAATGTTGTAATTATGGGATGTAGAACATAGTCATGCAGAATAAGGCATTATTATGTCCTTAATAAGTAAGCTACTAATAAACAGCCAATATCCTAGTAATAGGCATGCTAATAAGCAATTAGTTAACAGTGAGATTTGGACTTAAGTGTGACTAAAGTGTTACCATACATAAATTTACATATAAATAAACGTTTCAGACTCTTTCACACAGCAGACTGATCACAGGTAAGTTAAACGATACACTATCAGACTTCTCTATGACATAAGTATACAAAAATTATTAATAAACTGAACATCTACTTGAAATGCAATAGTTAGACATTAAAGCATTTGAGTAACAGTTTTTTTCCACTGAAATGTGATGATTTTACTAACCTTTAGCACTAAATGAGTGAGATAAACAAGAGTGTTTTTGAAGTTCTGCTCTGTGTTTGAGGATGCGCCACAGTCGTCATGGTAACTCTCAAACTCTCAACTGCCAATCAGAATTTAGAAAATGCAGCTTAATTCCCTGCAATAAACACTCATTAAAACACCTTATAAAATACAAGTCATAATAATTCCCACACACAAACTACAAATAATATACTGTATGTACAGTGGTTAAATTGGGATTTGTGAGGGAACCCTCACATTTTGGTCAACAGGGGAAAATGACTCACCGTGGGACAACATATTTGTGATATATAGCAATACTTTTTGGGACAAGAGTGTCATCAAGTATTATACTTATTTACTTGATATAATGGTTTTATTTTGTTCCATCTACATCTATCTGATATAATGACAATACTATGTTAAAATTGCTGAACACCATAATATGGAACATAACCTTGTTTTTTACAATGTAAATTTAATCATAAAAATGGGAAGTCCAAACCGGACTCAAATTTAACACACCAAAATGGCTGAAGACAACTATAACAGTAAGAAAACAATAGTTAAGAAAGGTGTTTGGAAAACTCTTTTTCCAATTCAAAGTGCTTGAAAAACTCTTTCAGATCCAATTATGTCTGGAGTTGTATTGTGTCAACTCTAATCATAAAATGATCTTGTTTTGTTGGTTTTATGGACAAGGTTGATTTGAATTTCAGGTTTTTGAAGGGGAAATGCACAAGTTATACCAGTTTACAAGACTTCTCACTTTTAACTGAATAGGCCTATTATTCATGCGTGTTTTATGTCATATAAAAAATGTTGTTTATTAGTTTTCATACATCCAGTCTGCCAACAGTTTATTAATCTTTAAAATAGTGTCCCTCAGAGGAACAGTTGTTATATAAATTAAAAGTCGCTGTGATTCTGTGTTCCTCAGGAGCTGGAAGAGGTTTGAGTGTGTGTGACTGATGGACAGGATTCAGTGGAGCGTCAGAGATCAACTCTCTGAACACACACAGATCCAGAGACACACAGGACTCACTTTACTGATGCTCAGGAGAGAGTGTGTGTGTGTGTGTGTGTGTGTGTGTGTGTGTGTGTGACAGTCATGGATCCACCGATCAAACCTGCACAGAGTCTATGGGTTCAGACTGTAAAGCTGGAGAACAGTGAATGGGTAAGACATTCAGTGTTTAACAGCAGTTTAATTTCAGCTGTGACGTGTTCATGCACTGTATGCTTCAAAACATAAATTGTATTGCATTAAATATGATATTTAAAGAGTGAAGCTTCCAGAGAGTTGATATGGTCTTTGTCTGTCAGTGATGTGGAGAACCTTGCAACGCTAATGTAACCCTGCATAATTTAACAAATTAATTATAAAAGGGAATTAATTAATTTGAGTTGTTAAAATAACCAGAATTAGTAAAAAGTGTAAAAAAAAAAATCTAATCAAAAAGAAATGCATGTCAGTGTGATGATTGACATTTTTATGATTGTCCAATTACGGGGGTTTATGTTGAAGTCCCTCCCTGTTGAGTTGCTGTATGGGGGAAGCCATTTTCTTTCCTTTGCGTGACGAGCAGCAGAATAACTTTGTGTAAAAGTTAAGATCGTCAGAGAGGATCGAAAAGGAGACATTTACGTATATGATCTATTTTCCTTGGATTTGGTGAGTACACATTTTTAATTTTGTAAACTTTCATAAATGTGATTGTGTACTGATGTGTTAATTTGAGAGAGTGAAAAGGTATTTCTTTGTCAGTATGAAATGCTGATACGATCTGATGTTTAATGAGCAAAAAGTGATGTAATGGTAATGTGTATGAGTTTGTAATGTTCATATTTTGTTGTTGATCATATTGAGCGAGTGATTTTATGTTTAAGTTGCATAATGTTATCTAAGCTGTCGAATTACGATGGAAATGTAGCTGTTATATGTTAAACAGGATAAAAAGTGCTACTATTACTGTTAAACTAAAAGCTGTGAATTTAATGTGTGCTGTGAACTAAATGCTGCCTGTTGCACATGCAGGTCTTTATCCTACCCTGGAACTGCGTTCATTTCAGCGTTACGATCTAAGATGGCGACCCTTCCCAGCGAGATGAACGTTGATTGATGCGAGATTTGAGTTAAACCAACACCTGTGGAATTGGTAGGAAAGTTCTGATTGCCTGCTAGTTTTTTTTTTTCTAACCTGGACTGAGCTTTGTTTTGGAAAGACTGCTCTGCTCATAGTATTTTGTTTCCCTGCGCAAACAGATATTCTGTGGAACTATAGAATCACGATTTTTAGAATTTTCACGATTCTAAGGAACTTTGAATTCTCTGAACTGGATCAGTGAATCAAATCTTTTGAATCAAATTCTTCCAAACGAATTTGAAGTGAACTTTTCAAACTCAACCTTTTGAACTGAACAGTTCAAACGAGTCTTTTGAACTGATTATGTGAATTGTTTTCTTCTGAACTGTTGTTTTTGCATTTTGTTCATTTTTTTTTATGTTTTTAAATGTGATTTAGTGAACTGTCCAATTTTATAATTGTGAACATTTATCAATGTTTATGGGGTTGAATTTTATATTGAAGGTGTAGTATTCTAGGAATCTTTAGCTGTGTCCCAATGTGAAGGCTGCATCCTCCGAAGGCCGTATTTGAAGGCCGATTGGCCGCATTTGAAGGCCGATTGTGTCACAACGGCGCGACGAAGGATGTCCCAATTCAAAGGCTGCATCTTCGAAGGCCGCATTTAAAGGCCGATTGCATCACCGCGGCGAGATGAAGGCTGTCCCAATTCAATTCCGCATCATTTGAAGGCCGGTTGCGGTGCAACGAAGGCTACCCTGATTCAAAAGCGACGCCAAATGCACCCTTCGTTTCCCCGTGAAAGGAAGGATACATAAATGGATCCTTAGCGGCCTATCCTACCCTGATCCTACCCCATAAGTCATTGCGCGCCGGTGACGACAGCATTTTTAGTGCAGCATTTGGTGTGTAGCCTACAGTTCAAATTCAAATGTTGGTGTTCAACTTTGCATTTTAAAAATACAACAACCGTTCATTTTTCGTTTTGCAATTACGGGTTAAAAAATGAAAAACGAATGGATGCAAATTTACATGGACAAAAGATATGGTGGGGGGGGGGGGGTATGTATGGTTATTATACATATATTTTATGGTTGTACTCATAAAATTTCTTCTAGGTTGGCAGGTATGTAACCCCCTGGGGTCGGCCGTCGCGACGAGCTTGATTTTTAACTTATCAACAATTACTCCAATCATTCATTTAAATATAAAGATTTACTTTATTATTTAAACAGTGTTGTCCTTATTACACCTCCATAGTCAAACCTACTGGCCCATGGTTAATATTAGTAACAAGTGCAATATTATTTGACACGTGTGCTACACTTACACTGATGAGAGGTTTGTTCCCACCGTCTCCGGCTCTCAGAAGCTCCTGGACCCTCCCAGACCTCCTTCAGTTCCGGTGTGGGACCTTTCTACGGTTTTGGAAGCCATGAAAGGTGCCCCGTTCGAGCCAATACATTTGTCAGACATGAAGCATCTGTCTTTCAAAACGGTGTTTCTTTTGGCTCTCGCTTCAGTGAAGCGCATAGGGGACTTACAAGCGCTTTCAGTAAGCGCGTCATGTATGGAGTTTGGGCCTAATGACTCAAAAGTCATACTCAAACCAAGGCACGGGTACGTGCCCAAATCCCTCAACACACCGTTCAGGGCCCAGGTTATTTCCCTGGAGGAGGATGCGAGTCTCCTTTGCCCTGTCAGGGCACTGAGAGCTTATGTGTCCCGCTTCAGACAGACCGAGCAGCTCTTCGTTTTGTTTGGCGGACGCTCCAGGGGACTGGCCGCATCAAAACAGAGCCTATCCAGATGGATAGTCGATGCCATAGCACTGGCTTACACTTCTAAGGACCTGCAGTGTCCTTTGGGTGTCAGAGCGCACTCCGCGAGAGGCGTGGCCTTGTCGTGGGCGTGGTATAGTGGGGTTACCTTGCAAGATATCTGTACGGCCGCGGGCTGGGCCTCGCCGTCTACATTTATAAGATTTTATAACCTAGAGGTTCCCGCCTTACAAGCCAAGCTTCTGTCGGTATGGAATTCAGTGCTAATCTGCCCCGCTGTACCGGCCCAGATGCTGAGTTTTGCTAGTGCATCGCTCACTAAGCGATAAAACAGCTCCATGGGTGTTGAGTAACCCGTACTGTTACCCAGTTCAGGCTGAACACGTTCACCCTGTCTGTGTGAAACACTGTTAACATAACTAGCTCCTGTAGGATGCTATTTCATGGGGAATGATGCTTGCAGCCTCTCTTCTCCGACTCTCTGTGAGTCTATGGTGATTATGCACTACATGAGCCCCGGGCTTCTGCCCTTGGGACTTTAGTGTTGGATCCCTGTACGCACGGCGTTTTACACTGTGTTCCCCTAGCGTAAGATATTACGCAGTACGAGAGAACCTCTCGTAAGAGAACGTACTCGGTTACTAACGTAACCTCGGTTCTCTCTAGAGAGGGAACGAGTACTGCGTATCTTGCCGTGCATACAGTACACAGCTCTGGTTCGCTTCGGCGATGAAAACCAGTGTACCAGCCTTATTGAGCTATATTTATAGGGCGAGACCACGCCTTTTCTGGCGGGACGTGACGAAATGGGCGCGAAATGCCCCCATTGGATATGGTGTCACGCAGCGCCTCTCTCGATAGGCTGCTGTTGCAGCAGGGCAGCCAATGGGCGCGCGAGCCGTCCTGCCTATGTCTGCATGCTGCTGCACAGCGTTTTACATTAATTCAAAATTAAGGATAATTTTTGGCTTCAATATCTCGTGGAAAAGAGGTTTTCCCCTAGCGTAAGATATTACGCAGTACTCGTTCCCTCTTCTAGAACCGAGGTTACGTTAGTAACGGAGTACGTTTTCACTCATCCTTCCTTTCAATATTACGTTTTCTCTCTTGCAGGTTTAATTCGGCAGCGGTTAATGACAGTGATGTTGGACTGAAAACGGATCTGATAACCATCAACCCAGTCAGATTTGGTCAGTGCTCACACACACACACACACACACACACACACACACACACACACACACACACACACACACACACACACACACACACACACACACACACACATCATTCATAAAAACAGATTTAATTAACATTTTAATGAAGATATTTCAGATTCAGTTTGTTCAGGTATGAGTTTAAGATCTCAGATTCTAGTTTTTATTGAGTGCTATTTCTAAATAACATAATTCTAGCTACAGCTTTTTTCAAAAACACATTCATTGGTCATTACTGGTATTCCATATACTTAATTTCCAAGTGAAAATAATTCAGGTTCAATTAACTACATTCATACTGTATTTTAAATTTGTTAAAGTTGTATTCTGGGTAAATATATTTTATACTTTATGGGACATTGGGAAACAGATCTGTGCCATCTCGTGTCTCCAAACTATGTTTTGGATTACAGTAATAGTCCTAAAATAAGATAAATTTTCTTTATGCACGATGCATTTCTCTTTGTTTTTCCTTTTATTGATGAGGAGACGTGACCTGACATGTTAGTCCTGTTGTGTGTTTCTGATGACAGCAGGGTTTTACTACGGTATTTCTGCTCATTTATAAGCATTTAAAACAAGTATGTTAATAAATCTGTTCTTTATGTGTATATAAATTTTATTGTGTAAACTCGTTTATTTATCACATTAACAATATGGTCAATCTAGCAATTGTGAAGTAATGTGAGCAGTATTTTATTAATTTTATTTAATTGTTTTTTGTGTTTATTTAAAATTAGACACATCTGATATTATTTTAATCTTATATCTGTTATTATCCCTCTGGGGTCTACGGTGTTTTTGGGGTCCTTGAGATGTTTTGACATGCCCTGACATCTGTGCTTTTTTCAGTTGCTTATAAACATATTAATGGCAAAGGTGTCATTACACTATATTTAGCACAAACAGGGCTACCATAATATGTGTAATACATTGTAACAAGGTTAGGTGTTATGGGAAGAAGGAGGCGGGAACCGGCGAACAATCAAAACATTTAATAACAAAATGAAACAAATAGCCTACATAAACGAAAGTAAAGACGGCAGTGCTAGTCGGCATGGGGTACTTTCCATAAGATCATCTCTCAATGCAAATCAAATAATTCAAATCTATTATAAAACAAAACAAAAATGTTTTCTTTGAAAAAGAAATTGTCAAAATTTTGTTTGTTGTCAAAGTTTATTTTTAATTATTTTAAAAAGCCATTACTTTATTTGAAAAAATTAATAATTGTATTTTATTGACAAAATATTTGAGTTTGTCTTGTAAATTTTTTTTATTAGATCAGAAAACATTTTAATCTGTCATATGGTCATGTTACAATGGGGCATGTTGTCACATTTCACTTCCATTCTTTCGTGGTAAATCAAGAAAAAATATATACACTGTATTAATGAAACAAAACCACATAATTGTACTAGACGTGTCTAAATTAAAATAAAAAAATTAATTGTCTGAACCCCAAGTGGATTTACACAAACTGAGAAAGTCAGAAAGTGTTGGGTTGTGCCCCGCTCTATATCAGTTATAGAATTGAACTCTTGTTTTTATTCACATGAACCAAGAACCTCAACATTTCACCAGTAATTGAGTGTTAACAGCTGGAGAGAAGAGAGAGAAAACGGCTTCAGAAAGTTTGGTAGAAACTCTGGAAAGTAAGTTTGTAAATTTATAATTTTGTAGAATTTCACCATATAACATGAAAGCATATTATGTAAAATTTCATAGTAGATTTGAAAAGAAAAGTATTAATGTAAGACAAAAGAAATATATAGATGTGTAACAAATTAGCCCTTTACACGTATATAACACACAAATATTTCATTATAGTTGATTTTTAAGGGCCTGAATATACATTTATTTTTTTGAGCTTGTATCACATATTTATTTTCTTAATAGTTGTAAGTTAAAACTTATTGATTGTGGTTAGTGCAAATTCTTTTTTGGTTTTTATTTACATATTCTCAAAACAGCACATCCATAGTTAATCTTTTGAGATTTTATGTTATTTTGTTCGTTTCATCTGACAGGAGTGATGATCAGTGGGTTTGAGTTTTTACCTTCATCATTATCGCATGGGCTGAAAAATGGATAGAGTTTCTCAGGGAAAGTCTGAGCAGTGAAAGAGTAGAGATGAGATCTGGACTCCACGTCATAAAAAGAGACCAGACCCTCCTCATAATCCACAAACACACCAACCTTCTCAGGTTTCACTCTCAGAGATAAAGAGACAGGTGAATCATCACAAGCTTCATATTCATTCTCCCTCCTCAGAGCCACAGTCCAGACTCCATTCTTAGGTCTCAGTCTGATTGACTTCTTCCTGTTAATGGATTCTCTGATCACTCCTAAAGTCCACACAGTCTTTCCCTTCACCTGCACCTCATAGTAAAATCTCCCTGAACTGAATCCCTGCTTTGCCAGAACACAACCCACATCAAATCTGTTTGGGTTTTTTGGGACGTCCTGCTTAATGTCTCCACGACTGACTTGTTTTCCATCATCAGACAGGAGGAGATGTGGATACGCTGTATCAGGATCCAGAGTCACATCCACTGAGAGAGATCAGACATTATCAACTTCAGAACAAACATTTTCAGATACAGTATATAATACAGATTATAAACAATGTATTGTAAGTGTATTGAAGAAAATGGTGTCAGTCACACTGTACCTGCAAACTTCTGCACAAACTTCAACCCTGTGGACACAGATGACAATATAATGATGAATTATTTATAGCAGTAATTTCAGGTTAACAGTGAGTTTTATTTAGAGACACTATATTATTTAGTGCTTATTTAGTTTGTATACATTTTATTAATTTTTGTAAGTATAACATCAACCTGTCCAGGGACAGCATTTAGCATTTTTTGCTATAACCTGGCACATGACATCTCTTCTTTTTTAGACTAACTTTTTTTTTGTGCATTGTCCCTGATCAAATAAAGAAATAAACTAAACTTTGCACATGGCTGGAAATGGAGAGTAAATATTAGGGGTGTAACGATTCATTCGTTTTCTCGATGCATCGATTACAAATCCTGACGATGCATATCGATCTTGAAACATGTATTTCGAATCGTGAATCGTTTATTTCGGTCAATATTCGATTTAAAATGCTAAGAATCGAATAATTTGCGATTCTATATAGATTCAGTGCTTTAAAACATATAAACATTAAATGACTACATGCGCGAATTAATGAGGCGTTGTGCGGCGTCATTTCGCGTCCTCACAGCTCTCACATACTCGCTGCACTCTTACCATCTTTCACTGGATTCCGCTCGCGCTCGGTCCCATATAGCTCTCATCTACAGATTTTTGAGCAGTCCGTGTTTGAGCTCTCCTCAGGACAGCCACTGGTGTTCACATGAGCAGATGACAGCTCTCTATCGAGAAAGCAAGCCATTGATAAAGCTGCCATATCATTGCGCGGTCACTGCTATGAAACAACGCGTTCGTTGCGTGGAAACGTCACCGTTATTTTCTTTAAGAAAAGATACTGAAGTTTTACGGAAATGGGTCAAATAATGCAACAAAGTTTGTTTCTAGAAGAAAATAGCGTCACAGTCCAGCTTAAGTAACGTTCAGAAATGGTTCATTTTTGTTGTAAAAAGTTATTAATTTAGTTAATTTATATCGAGCCGCTCTGGAGAAAACCGTGATGTCATCGTCCAGCTCAGTTCAGTTCTCATATAATGGTGTCAATGCAGGAGATCAATAATATTGTTGAATATTAAATGTTATATTTAATTAATAATTAAATGTCCCCAACTAAGCAAGCCAAAAGCCAAAGGCGACAGTGGCGATGAACCAAAACTCCATCAGTGACAGAATGGAGAGAGAAAAGCCTTTGGAGAAACCAGACTCACTGTCAAATACAACACAAGTCCAATTCAAACACGTCATTTCCGTTCACTAAAAATCACACACTTTTGAGAGTCAACTTAAATTAAAAAAGCACATCTCACAAAGAAAATATTACATTCATTGTGTCATATATATTAAATAATTTAGGAGATTTTACATTATTTATTCAGGTAGATTTAATTAAAGAAATCAAGCCTTAAAAACTACTCAAAAATATCAAGCGTAATATTTTTACCGTCATTTTTTTAAAATAGCATGTAACAAATTTTACAGTGATGTGTCTTAGTGTTTCTTCATGAATAGTTACATCATAGTTACATCATATCACTTACATATCTCTAAAGTAAGTTAAATTAATATTGCAATAACTGGTTATGGCATCAGATAAGTTTGGTTTAGGGTTTAACCCTAACCCTAAACTTTACATAGAGTACGTTTAGTTAGTGATTTTATCATAACAGTCTAATGCTAAGTTATGATTATATTTTTCAAACAGTGTGATCTTTTGCAGACTGAGATAAAATAATTGTGGTGATCATCAACTTTTTATTCAACCCATAATATTCCTTGAAAATTGTAATTTCTAAGGTAATAACAAAAATCTATACACTGCATCTGAGATTCACATACCAGTTTGACTGAGTGTTTCATTGAGAGTTTTCTTCAGTTCAGTCAGAGCTATGAACAGAGAGTTCACATTCACACCAGAGTCAATCCTGATCTCAGTCCAGTTCTTGGTGTGTGGACGAGTGTGCAGGGATGAGCACATCTACAGCAGGAGAGAGAGAACACTGTTAAATATGATCATTATTTTTAAAGCAGTAAATTCAATGTTTTTATACAGGGTTTTCGTTGTTTTCTTCCTTTCACTCAGTTCAATCAGAATGATTACATGAAAAATACAATGTTCTGTCAATGCAAGTGAATTGACAGCATTGTTTGGTAAATGTCTCAGTGTGATTGGTGCAATGGTCTCATGTCCAGAGAAGTTAGAGAGTTTAGAAATACTTTGTGTTGGAGCCATTTTAATGCAATTATTATATATTTGTCCATTGGGGGCGCTCTGACATTTGTATATTAGTTGCACAGGGGTAATTAGACAACAGGTGTATTGGTAGTTGGGAAGCACACCGTTTTTTGACCGTGTTAAGCCATGTACTACGTGGAATACCATGCTGACCGTGCCTATAAGATTGTTATGTGTTGGATTGAGTTTAATGGTGTTTAACCATGCTTCACTGATAAAGAGTGATGTTCAAGGACATATGGACAATGTTCATGCGCTGTATCTGCAAGGTATGGATTTAACATTAGTATGCTTTGAACTACAAAGAATGAGACACACAAGAAGCTAATCGGAAGGAACGTTGATCAATTAGAGCACAAGAAATTTAAGACATTGTTTGCATCTTACATCTGTGTTCATCGAGTTTATACACGTTCATTTTCTGCTCATTCCTATTACCAATACCACAACGGCTTAATGGAAAGCTGTTACACTTTGCTTACTGTGGAGGGAGAGCCTTTACCAGGGTCTTTCATGCAAATGACCTTCTGTCCTCAATAAGGTCTAAACTACCCAAGTCTGGGATCTTGATTAATGCAAATTCCAATCGTTAGTTTGTGCCTCCATTTGGAGGATGTTTTGTCTTGTTCTGAGTATTTAAAGAAATTTTGTAAAAGGCTCAGGGTGATTCTGTATCTGATCAGCTCGTAATGTTGAAGCTCTTCCAGACACTCAGCATTATGTATCTTTCAGATCTCAGGTATGCATATTTTACTGTTTATTTCTGAGCATTTTGTTTTGTATTGATTATCTTCGACATAATTATGTAATTGGCATTATAGATTTACCTGATTTACCTGAGATTATTGAATCTAGTAGATTATGTTATATCCATGTTTCTGCTAATCTGTGTCCAGGCTTGAGTTTTACTAGATCTCAGGTTAGACTGAGCATGAAGCACATCAGGCGAGATGTCTGAAGAACTGCTTGATTTTAGTTAAGTTGTTATATAGTTGCATTCACTATAGGAGGCTAGACAAAAATGCAATTTAAATAATAGCAAGCATGAGGTGGCATTACTTTATAGTATTAGCCATAACCTCTGGTTATTGTTTGAGCTTTAACTAAGTTGTTATATAGCCAAACGGATTTACTTTTTAAATAATGGCAAGCATGGACGGCCTATTAAATATTATTAGTCATAACCTCTGCTCTGACTAATAATCAGACTGGCGAGTTTGTGACCGTGAGATTCACATTAACGGCCGGCGTGAGCCTCTGAGCAACATTGGAATCCAAATGAACAAGTACAATCTAAAGTAAAGAGTTAAACAGAATAATATAATATCTAGATAAATATAAGTTACCAATAATCCATTGGCATTCCAACATAAATTTAAGGTCAAGATAAAATTGAGTCAGATAAAAGTGTAATTGAAATTAATTCACTTAAAGCACTGAAAATACAGAACACACAGGAGACCTTCAGACACACCACTGGACACCGGCGTTGGGTCAATTTGATGGATCTTAAAGGTCCCGTTCTTTGCGATTTCCATTTTTCAAACTTTAGTTAGTGTGTAATGTTGCTGTTAGAGCATACATAATACCTGTAAAATTATAAAGCTCAAAGTTCAATGCCTAGCGATATATTTTATTTAACAGAAGTCCCCTTTCAAAGCCTACAGCGAACGGCCGGTTTGGACTACATCCCTCTACTTCCTTTTTTAATGACGTAACTGGAACAGTTTTTTGACTAATCTCCGCCCACAGGAATACACAAAAAGGGGGCGTGGTCTTGTTGCGCTCCCACGGAGAAGAAGCACTTCAGCTGCGCATGCATCTCCAATTTATGGTAAGAGGCGTGACCTTTCCGGGCAACGTGCGATAAGCTGCTGTCCAATCACAACACAGGAACCGCTGGCACAATCAGAACGCGTTACGTATTTCTGAAGGAGGGACTTCATAGAACAAGGAAGTTATCGGGCCGTTTTTTGGACAGTGAAAACAGCGGTATACAGATAAGTAAATTGTGTGAAAAATACTGTGTTTTTTTACACGCGAAACATGAACACATGTTATATTGCACACTGTAAACACAATCAAAGCTTCAAAAAAAACCTGAAGAACGGGACCTTTAAAGACATGATGTACATATTGACTGAGACAGATGTTGACAGACCTGTATGAGATGGAGATGATCTTCAGTGTGTGAGAGCTGCTCCAGCTCAGTGTTTCTCCTCTTCAGCTCAGTGATTTCCTGATGTATCTCTTTAATGAGATCTTCAGCCTGTTTCTCTGCTGCTTTCTGCTGTTCCTCCATCATCTTCATCAGATCAGACTGACATCTCTCAATGGAGCGGATCAGATCAGTGAAGAGCTCAACACTGGAGGATTTCTCTTCCTCTTTGTTTCTCTGATGAATGAGAACAGTTATGTTTGTTAATCTATTGCATATTCACATATTATTTACGGGATAGTTCACCCCAAAATGAAAACTCTATCATCTTTAATTAACCTTATGTCACTTAAAATGTTTTGCATGCTGCTCTTGAGGACCAGCTGTTGAAGCACTCCTATATAACTCCATACAACAGATTTGTGCTCTATGGGAAAAAAACATCATGTGTGTTTGGAGCAACATGATGTCACCGTTAAGTTCTGTTAGTTTCTGTTGTCATGGATTCTCAGTTTGCTTTCATTGCTTTCACACGTGTTCCTTGTTCTCATTTGCATGTATTGTATTAAACTTTATTTTCCGCCACTCATCAGTTGGACATTAACTAATCATCACTAGGGCTGGACCAGAATATTCGTTCGGTGGGTTGGTATTCGATTTGAAAATTTGACATTCGAATATTCAGGGTTTTTTTTTTTTTTTTTTTTTGCACACCCCGCGAAACGGTTCTTGAATAAGGCTGGCGACACACTGGCTGCATGGCGTGAGTGTCATGTACGTTTTTATTTCAGCTCCCATGTTAACAGGTTGGAGTTTGCACACTGCCTGTGTGAAACGCGCGGCTCGAGCCACGCGGAAAATGCGTGCATGCTAGAAATAGAACCGACGCCTAACTGCAACGGGAGTGTTCTCTGGCTAGAGCGCAGAACAGCGGAGTTTGTATGGACCAAAGTGCATGCCTATGAGCTTGTGTTTTTGGTTAAGCTGCGTTGCTTTGACATTGTGGAAAATAGAATAGAACAAAATGTATTAGCCTTTTACCCGTTATTATCAATCTAAATTAATCTCGTTTTTAATTTAACTTAATTTCGTTTTTTTTAATTTAAATTTAGTTTTTTTTTCTTTATTTCAATTTCGTTTTTTCTTTATTTAAGTTTCGTTTTTCTTTATTTAAATTTCGTTTTTTCTTTATTTAAGTTTGTTTTTCTTTATTTAAATTTCGTTTTTTCTTTATTTAAATTTCGTTTTTCCTTTTTTAAATTAAAAATTTTCTTTATTTAAATTTCGTTTTTCCTTATTTAAATCTACCCTTTACTGTGTCAGTAATTTGTTAGTCAGAAAAATATTAGACTACCTTAAAAGTATTGCTTAATTTAACAGACCTGTGTGTGTGCGTTCTCGGAGCATAAACCCTGCCCGCGTGAGGTGCGCTGCTTCCCACTCGCGCTGTTCTGTAGCTTGCTAAAAGTTTATTAATTCTGAATGTGTCGCGTCTCGCGTGTCCTGCACTCCCTTGTGAAGTCGGTTGGATGAACGGTTCTCGAAATAATCAAAATGCAAACAGACAGACACAGAGATTTCTGCCTTTATTAGCCTAGTGAGAAGAATATGTTCAGCCCCCTCTCTCCGAAGCTTCGAATATTCGATGTTCATTACTACCGAAGCTTCGACGCTCAAAAAAATGGTATTCGGACCAGCCCTAATCATCACAGCGGTTCATCTTTTAGTTAATCATCTCTGTATATTTAAGTTTCTTCCTTGGTTCTGTTCATTTGTCGGTTATTATTTGTGCGCAGCACACTCTCGCATATTGGCTTTTTATTCAGAGTATTATATTAAATCTTATGTTTTTGAATCGTTGTCTTCATATTCTATCAAACTAAGCATTACACATGAGGGTTACTAGATGATTGTATCACTCACAATTTAATTCAATGCCTTTATGAATTAGATTTAAATATTATGATGCATATAATTTTTTGAAGGTATTTTTTAGCTAGGATAGTTAGAGAGTGAACAGAAAGTGAAAGGGGGATCGGACACCATGAGTCAGGATATGAACTCGGGTTGATCGAAGCACAAACCTTTCTCAGCTCTACTGAGTGCTGGATCTCTTGAATCTTCTTCATTCTGTCCTGGATCATCTGATGAACGTCTGTCTGTGTCTGAACCAGCTGATTCTACATACAGAGAAAAACATAGACACATTTATCACTGAATATAGCTTCCCATCTTCTGATGATCTTATTTGAATCTCTCTTTTTAAACCATTTAAAGACCATTTGAATTCAAAATGATAGTTTTGAATCTTTTAGTCCATCTGACAGTTTTTAAGGGTATCAAAATCATCTTTTATCAGATGTAATGAAAGACTATTGGATTTGTCTGTTTAAAAGGAAAAAAGGGGACAGGTTCTTCAACATGTCAAGACACAGGAAAGACATCTGCATTTCACAGCATGTTTAAAGTGCTTTGTTTGTAACTCTCACCTTCTTATTTCGACTCTCCTCCTCTATAGGAACAATCGTGTGAGTCCTGTGTTCTCCTTCAGTGCAGCAGGACATACAAATACACGTCTGATGATCTCTACAGAACATCTCCAGAGGTCTCTTGTGTTTCTGGCATATATAATCCTCCAGATTTTCCACAGCATTGATCAGTGTGTGTTTCTTTAGACTTGGGACACTGAGATGAGGCTTCAGATGAGAGTCACAGTAAGAGCCTGGACACGTCAGGCAGGTCTTCACAGCTTTCTGCTTTCTATCATCACAGAAGTCACAGAACACCTCAGATCCTCCTAGATTGAGCTTCTCCTTAAAGTGTTGCACAACTTCTCTGAATGTTGTATTAATCTTGAGATCAGGTGTTTTGCTGAAATTTTCGTTACAGAGTGGACAGAAGCAGGTCTGTGTGTTCGTCCAGCTCTTGATCAAGCAGGTTCTGCAGAAGTTGTGTCCACATGGAGTGGTGACTGGATCAGTGAACACTTCCAGACAGATGGAGCACTGGAGCTCCTCATTTAGTGATGGACCACTGGAGGATGCCATGGCTGACAAAACAATGACAATATATCATCTACATTATATCATCATCTCAGAGAGCAATTTTGATAATACTAATACTCAAATGTATTTCTCCACTGACGGCCCTTCAACATTAACTTTATATATCCTGACAACATATTTATTTTTCCAAGTGACATGCAAATCACAAATATTTCACTGTATCTGTCTGCTGCTTTTGACATCCACAGCTCATGCAGCAATAGTTAAGAAAAGTGTTTAGGACTGTGTGAACTCTCTTTCCAATTCAGCTCCAGTTATGTGTGGAGTTGTAGTATTTCAACTCCAAATATAACATTATATTATTTTGTTGGCTTTATGGGTGTTTTGTATAACATAAAAAATGAACAAAGATATGAACATGAATTAATTTGAATCTCAGATTTTTGAAGGGGAAATGTACAAGTTAGACCAAGACTGATACGAATTTATCTGCTGAAGTGCTGTCATACCTGTGGTTGCGTAGCCTAGAGTTGTTAGTTGTTACACTGTAAAAAGTGATAAGTTGACTTTACTTAAAATAAATTGAGGAAACCCATTGCCTTAAAATGAATAAGTACATAAACGTCGTGCTTAAAGAAATTAAGTTGTGGAATTGTCAAATTCACATAACTTATTTTTTTCAATTAAGCATCACGTTTATTTACTTAATAATTTTAAGGCAACAGCTTACTAATTTTTTTAAGTAAGTGAACTGAACACTTTTTACAGTGAAGTGATGGTCGATCATAAACGATTAGTTCATTTTGAACTACAACTACTAACTAACTCTAGCCCAGATAGCATGGTGACATTGATACAATGTTGAGTTTTGATCTAAACCATCATTTTGGTTGAGATTGACATTTCAATGTTTAAAGTGTGCTGGATCAGCATTGACATTTTGATGAAAGCCAACAACACACATGGGTGGAGACAGTGACATTAACTAACAGTGATTTGTAGTTGATGAGCACAAGATCATTCATGCGTATCTCTGCAGAACACTAGTGGGTGTTTCTCGATCAGTGGGGCGTTTTCAATGGGTGACAAACCACAAACCACCACGCTATTTTCAACCGCTTTAACCGATTTGCTGTAATCCACTGTGGGCTTGGTTTAGGGGTGGGCCTTCATGATTTTAGCAAGTCTGTTGAAAAATGGTTGAAAAACATTTACCTGTATTGTAGTTTGAAATTGGCCACTGATTGGTAAACGCCCATTTTGTCTTTGCATGTGCACTTTTCTATAGTCTAATGCTTCCTCATTAGAGAGAAAACAGGTGCATCCTATACAGAAGTCTTGTTTGTTGAATCACCTGACATACATGACTTCTCTAGAACAGTTTCAAACAATGGTGCATCTACCTTATTTCTCTGTTCCTTTGTTTTGCATGCTTATTTGCGTTTGATTTGTGTTGTTACTCACTGTAATTAAATTACAAAAGTTATTAAAGTGTTTGAATAAAGCATCTATTTTTCTACATTCTTAAAAAATGCATCTTGCTTTAGTAAAGTTTATTAGGAATTTCCTGAATAAAGTTATGTCATTTAACAGATTTCTTAAGGTGCAAGAGACATGAACATGAGCAAGAATGTTAACATAGCCCATGTCTTGTCTCGGTCAGTGCTTGCATGTAAACACATTGCTCCTTTAGTAGGAGTGAAGGCAGATGAAGATGGACAATTAAAAAAGCACCCTCCTGATAATGCTGACATTGATCATACATTGAGTTGTTGTCGACAGCATAATTACCTGACCTGGGACTTGATGATATCCTGTATCTTATCACTGCTTAATCAGGTAATCATTCATATTCCTGAATCTGTATTAAATTTGAGAAATAACTGATTTCCATTCAGTTTAGCTTGTTTCCACTGAAACACAATAACAAAAAAACATCTAGTGTTTATTAAGAAACTGACTGACATTTTGTGATATTTAAAGAGATTGGGGTCTACATAAGGTGAATATGCAGCTTTAAAGAGATAGTTCAGCCTGAAATTAAAATTATGTCATCATTTATTTACCCTCAAGTTGTTCCAAACCTGTATGAATGTCTTTCTTCTGCTGCACACAAAAGAAGAGTGAATAATGTCGGTAACATGATGTTAGCCATTGACTTCCATGGTAATTATTTCCTACTATGGAAATCAATGGCCACCGTCAACTTTCTGGTTACCGACATTCTTTAAAATATCTCATTTTGTGTTCAAAAGAAGAAAGAAACTCATACAGGTTTGGAACAACTTGAGGGTGAGTAAATGATTACAGAATTTTCATTTCGGGCTGAACTATCTCTTTAAATAAATTTTCATTGAAAAAATCTAAGATTTTTTTTTTTTTCTACAAGATAAAAGTGTTATTTGAATGCTGTAGTTTCACAGAAAATGAACTGAGATGTAGTTAATGGCTATAGCTCAGAGGTGTTTGTTCCTCTTAATGAAGAGTTTAGCTCCAGCACCTGGGAGTGTTCATTGATCTGATGACCTTGATTAACTGCCTCAGGTGTGTTTAATTAGGGCTGGAGATAAATCCGACACCCCTGCTAGTGTTTTCTTTTGATATTAAAGCATAGAAATAAATAAACAGAATTTTACGATACTATAATCGTAGTTAGAATATTTTGTTTTCAGTGACTTAAAAAAAAAAAAAGTGAATCATATTGTGTTTAGTATATTAACATTATTGAATGTGACTGTATGTATGACAACTGAGGCCATGTCCACACGGACACGGGTATTTTTATAACCGGAGTTTTTCCTACAGCGTTTTAAAAAAAAATCCCGTCCACACATGCTCGGTCTCCGTCTACATGAAAACGTAAAAACACACAATCAAGCGCGGTCAAGAGCATGCCACGCCAGCAGGCGGCGATATAAACCTTAACCCTAAAGCCACGTTGGCCAATCAGAAGCGCAAATCTGATGTCAAACACAGCTGATAACGGCGCACACTCTGACGTCGCAAGGCAAAAACCCCGGTTTCACTGTCTACACGCATAGACAGTATAAGAAATGGACAGAGCGATCTCATTGGAACTCAGTTGAGACATTTGAAGCCCACTTTTAGCGATTTTTGAGAACTTCCGTTCCTGACGCGCAGACTCAAACCGACTCAAACTAAGCTTGATGACGTGAGCAACCTGTCTGACAGACGTAAATCTTCTAGTAGCTGTGCGTGAAAATTGCCAACGTTAATCTTGCAGAGACGGGGAACTTGAGCAAAGAGTCCTTTATCGTGAGTGAGCAGGAGTAAGTATTCCGTTGCTTTTATGGACTCATTATCTATGGGCTTCTCTCTTGACGGGACGTCCCCCCGATCGCCTGCGAGCTTCTCCTCCTGTCTGTACGGTAATTTCTGTACAGCGCGACAGAGAGTCGAGTGGTTATGACGCAATCGTTAGCCTATTTTTACTAAAACTGTTTCTACGGGGCCATAATGTAACATAGAAGGTAATGGAGCCCTTTATACATTGTCGTGTTTCTTTAGAAATAAATAATGGACAAATGGAGTCTTTAAACGCCTCAGATGTAAAGTTATTCGCTGTCAAAGTGACGCCAAAATGAATAGGAGTCAATGGAAATGCTAACGCAAGTGAAGTTCTGCTACAACATGGCGGCACCCGGCCGGCTTCAACTTCCGGTCGATGGATTACCCCCTTGTCTACACGACAACACTGTAACCGGCGTTTCTGAAAATCCTCACCCTGGCAGGGGTTTTCAAAAATGTTAGGTTTCAGTGCGTTTTCGTGTGGACGAACGGCCGAACCGCGTAAAAAAAGTCACGGTTATAAAAATACCCGTGTCCGTGTGGACAGGGCCTGAATTGATTCGTTCTTGAGTAACATCATGCTTTCTTTTTCAGATTCCAGAGAACTCAAAGGAAAAGAGGCAGAATCTGATGATGCAAGACAGATTTTTAAAAACCTGAACCGCTGGACCTGTAGTTATGATGACATCAGACTTCTGAAGCCAATTTTATTTTTAAAGGTTGAAATGCTTTTGTCCTATTTCTCCCCCTTTCTTAAAAAAAAATGATATTTTAATATATTTGTTGTCATTGATTGATTGAATAAAATAAATTGACTCAACTGCTGGAAAGGTGTCATTTATATTTGAAAAGGTTTTCGACAAATTTTGAAATGGTCAGGAAATGATTTGTTGACGCACCATTGAAGTGTGATTGAAATATTAATGTTGTTTCAACATTAATTGGTACATCAGATGGCAACATTGTTTGACATTCCTTTTCAGTCTTTCAACAAAATGTATTTAGAATCAACATCACATTGTAACATTGATCAAACCATATTACAAAGATTATTTTTTGTTAATTTCAGAGTTAATTCAACAGCAGTGATGTAGATTCAACATCATAGTGTAACGTTGATTCAACAATATTACCATTGATTAGTTTTGTTAATTTCAATATTGATTCAGCATCAGTGATATAGAATCAATCATAGTGTAACGTTGATTCAACAATATTACCATTGATTAGTTTTGTTAATTTCAATATTGATTCAGCATCAGTGATATAGAATCAATCATAGTGTAACGTTGATTCAACAATATTACCATTGAGTATTTTTGTTAATTTCAATATTGATTCAACAGCAGTGATGTATAATCAATCATAGTGTAACGTTGATTCAATAGCATTACCATTGATTTTTTGTTCAACATAGTTTCAACATTAACTGAGGGTGCAAAAGTGATGTTGATAAAATATCACTTTGTAATATTGAATCAATACTATTACCGTTGATTTTTGGTTGAATTCCCAACATTATTTCAACATTAACTGAGGGTGCAAGAGTGATACTAAAGCAACATTACTTTGTAACGTTAATTCAATGCAATTAGCGTTGACGCATCAACACTGAGTCAACATTGTTTCAATGATTACATGCTATCTGGGAGGCTACGCAACCACGGGTATGACAGCACTTCAGCAGTTCAATTCTAATCATCTCTTGTAAACTGGTCTAACTTGTACATTTCCACTTCAAAAACCTGAGATTCAAATAAA